AGACAGAGTTTTGTTCTGTTGCCCAGCCTGGAGTGCAGTGGCGCAGTCTGGGCTCACTGCAACCTCCGTCTCCAGTTTCAAGTGATTGTCCTGCCTCGGCCTCCCAAAGTGCTGGGATTACAGGCGTGAGCCACCACGCCTGGCTGAGCCCACACCTTAAATATGGTTATATCTCACTTGCTGGATCAGGATTGTTTGTTTCCTAATTTTAGCCCATCACTAAAAAAGTTTTTAGGCCAGGCTCAGTGGGCTCATGCCTGTAATCCCAACACTTTGGGAGGCCGAGGTGGATGGATCACTTGAGGTCAGGAGTTTGGGACCAGCCTAACCAACATGGAAAAACGCTGTCTCTATTAAAAATACAAAATTAGCCAGATGTGGTGGCGCATGCCTGGAATCCCAGCTACTTGGGAGGTTGAAGCAGGAGAATCACTTGAACCCGGCAGGTGGGGGTTGCAGTGAGCCGAGATCACGCCAGTGCACTCCAACCTGGGCAACAAGAGCTGAAATCTGTCTCAAAAAAAAAAAAAAAAAAAAAAAAAAGTTTTTAGTCTTAGATATCTTGCCTCATCACCAATTTACATAGGTAAGTGGACCCACAGGGACATGCAAAGTACAGGAGTAATTAGAGTATAATACAAATTACTCCTCACAACTTTGTGTGTGGTCAAGTGTTGTGCTTTCAATTTCCTGGCTTCTTCCTCTAACACACTGTGTCTTTGACAGCAGTTACAGTGAATCCCAACTCAATCTCTCTGGGCGAGTTATCTCAGTAAGAATGTAGGAATAATAATGTAAACTAACACCAGGAAGTTTGACGGTTTCTTTCTCCTAGACTAGAACATTCTCTAAACATCATAGCCAAGTGACTGGGTATGATGTGTCCCTTCCCTAAACTTACCCGAGATGATATCTGTGAGTAGGTGGTGGGGCAAGTGAAGGAATTCCTCTGTATTCTGCAGCTGGGCCAGGTGGGTCTTGGCACAGTGTTTGGCAGCAGTATAGAGCTCAGGATCACTGTGCCGATCTGCCAGCCACATCACCTGAAGGCAGTTTCCCACTTGCACTGTGCGGGCCAAAAACCGAGAGCATTCCTCAAAGAGAGATGTCAGCTGATACATGTCTGACACCTCATAAATTTCCTGTAACTCTTCAGCTCGAAGTTTCACAGTCCCATGGTAGATATAATCAACCAGGAGCTGGAAAACAGATTCGCTGACATCCTGCAGCACAATCACTCGGTTGTGGGCCTCCTTCAGGTTGGAAGTGAACATGGATCGAAAGAAGCAGCTCTGAGCTGAGAGGACCAGCCGATGGAGCTGAAACTCCCGACCTTCCACCGAAATGGTGACATCAGCAAAGAGCTCCTCCTCCAGACACAGTTTCATGATGCCTTGAGCCACGCGGCCTGAGTGTGACCGATCTTTGAAAGTGTAGTTCACAAAGTAGTTTTCATCCATGGATGCTCCAGGCTCCTCTGGTGATTCCATGCTAGCCAATTTCTCTCTCTGCCAGCTGTCTGCAAAGCAACACCACCTTGAGTAACTTGAGGAATTCACAGCCATAGTCTGTGAATCCAACTGGCCAACTCAGTAAGGGAAAAGAAAAAGTAAGAACAAAGTGGGTCCAGATTGCCCTTAGTCGTGGCCCTGCCCATGATGTCCCTGACGCTATCCTTTAACCAAAGCTAGGTTCATTCTCTCCAGTGGTGTCCCTCCACTAACGAAATAAAAATTCCAACTCTGGGTGTTTTCCTAAAAAAACACGGAATAATTCCTTTCTGTGATGTTAACAAAGGACTTGGGATTTAAGTCAATATATGACAGCAAAGGGCTGGGGAAGGTCTGTGAACGTAAAAGCCTAACCAAATAACTGGGGCATAGAACTAGTGAAGCTCAGGGGCAGTAGAATCAGACAAAAAGGACCCCCTGCCCCGGCCTAGTGGCCAGGTCCTCTCTTGCCCTGAGCATGGAGTTCAGACGCTCCAATATGAGGCCTAGTCTGGGGTATCCGTCGGTCTCACATTTGCTCTCTTCTGGGCTGCTTCCCCTACAGTTCCCCGCTCGCTCGAATGACTCCCTATGGCTGCGTCCCAGAACTCGAGTCCAGCCGCCCCCTGGCCGAGGCACTAGGAGGCCCATCGCCCAGTTGTCCCCGCTCCACCTAAAGTCGCCTGGGAAACGGTCGCCAGGGAAACCGTTCTTCCTGCTCAGGCCCGCCAGCCCTCGTCAAAAGCTTGGCTCAGAGAGCGGGGGAGGAGTGTGGAGCGTAGAACTCAGAACGCCCGCCCCCTCACATCCTCTCACCCGTCTGGTTCTTAAGCGTCCTCGCCTTCTCTCCAGGCTCTGCCACACGGAGCTAGGACTACGCTCACCTCACGGTTCCCCTACCTGCCTGTCTCGCTTTCTCACCTGCGTTCCCTCCTTTCATCCCGGATCCCGGAACCTCTGCTTCCGGCTCCACGTCCGCCCGGAAGAAGATCTGCTGCACATTTCCGCTTCCGGTCCGTGCCCTTGCGGCTTCGTGTCCTGCTGTCTTTTCTTCCGCTGCCTTGTGTCCGGGGAACATGGCGGCGTTGGCAACCAGACTCTGGTGGCGCGGGATCGTGGGGGCCGCGGCGCTGACCAGGGGTGAGCAGGGGCAGCCAGCTGAGACCAGGGTCAGGAGCAGCGGCGCGCCCAGCGGAGAGAGCTCCTCAGGCCTCACCCCGTGCTTTTGTGCCTTTTAATCTCCCTGTGCAGGGGCTGGGCGACCCTTGGTTCTGTTGCCGGTGAGGCGTGAGAGCGCTGGGGCCGACACGGGGGCCGACACGCGCCGTGAGTATGTGCGGGCAGCGCTCTTCTTTGAACTACTGGCGGGGGGGCCCTAGATGCCTGTCCTTGCCCTAGGATGCCCTTCCCTGCGTCCCCCTGGCAAATCTTGGAGACCTGACTGCAGTGGTCTTCTCCCTGCATTAAGAATCGAGCCTTCCCTGTGCCCTTAGGGCTCTCTGTTATGGCCCTGATTGTCCCTTGTCCGTTTCAATGATCCTTTTTTGTCTGATTAAACTGTCAGCTCTTTGAATGCTAGCAATGAAACCTTTAGGCCCCAGAGCCCTGTAATAACAGTACCTCACGTTAATTGAGGGCTTAATGTGTGCCTGGCACCTCGTTAAGCGTTTTAGTGAGATCTTCTTTCGTCCTCACAACAGCCTTATGGGGTAGATAGTATCTTACTCTTCTTACTACAGATCAGGAAACAAGTCCAAAGAATTAAACTGCCTAGGGTCACAGACCTAGTGAATGACAAAGCAGGCCTGCCTGCTGCCAAAGGCAGAGAACACCTAAACATTACTCCGTAGCTTGTGATGTGTGAGTGCTCAGTGGTTTAGGGTTGCATGAGTATGGACATACTACATTACAGTCAAAATACCGGACTGTGAGTTATGAGACCTGGCATTTCCTCTTTTCTGGGCCTCAGTTTTCTCATTGATACCCACCCCCACCCCCCAAAAAAAAAGGTTTCAAGGAGACAGTGTGTGAGGGATCTTCAAGCCCTGAAGTTCTTGAGAAACTGGTATAAACTTAAGTGCTAAGGAGATACAGAGAAGAAAAAGTTTGGTTCCCATCCACAAAAGAGCTCTTATTCTGATAGAACTGAGACTGCTACTTTAGCAGAAATGCAGGCATTGTGAAGGATGAACCATGGAATAGTTTTGAGAAGAGGCAAATGCCCCAGCTGCTGTAGTAAGAGTCTTTCTGAGGACTGTGTAGTTAAGGTGGCATTTTCTCCAAGTTTTCATCACTCTATTCCCTGGAAGGGAAATCTTTCACATGCATCTTTCCCAAGGTGCCGCAGAGAGCCTTTCCTGATTTGACATCCCTTACAGGCCCAAGAAACTGGATGCAGGGCTGGCTTTTGCCTTCTCTATTTCTTTGTTAAATATGCCTTTTCCTTCCAGCCACTGTCAGACCACGGAATGATGCGGCCCACAAGCAGCTCTCAGCTTTTGGAGAGTATCTGGCTGAAATCCTGCCCAAGTATGTCCAGCAAGTTCAGGTAATCCTTACAGTTATTTGGAGCTGGGCCAAGAAAGAACCATATTCTCAGGGCATGTGGGAGTGGGCAGACTAGTGTCAAAGACACTACAAACTCCTCCATCCCAAGCTTGTACTTTTCTTTCAACATTAAACCAGGTGACTGCAGCTGAAGTTAGCTGTTCCCTCAGTAGCTCTTTGTTCCCTCTCCCCTCCCTTCCATGTGTGCAGGTGTCCTTATTCAATGAGTTAGAGATCTGTATCCATCCTGATGGCATCATCCCAGTGCTGACTTTCCTCAAGGATCACACCAATGCACAGTTCAAATCCCTGGCTGACTTGACAGCAGTGGACATCCCAACTCGGCAGAACCGTTTTGAGGTCAGTCTGGAGATCTGAGAAGGTTTGGGGGTAGCTCTGTCACCAGGCTAGAGTGCAGTGGTGCCATGTTGGCTCAGTGCAACCTCTGCCTCCCAGTTCAAGAGATTCCCCTGCCTCAGCCTCCCGAGTAGCTGGGACTCTAGGCACACACCACCGTGCCTGGCTAATTTTTGTATTTTTTTTTAGTAGAAATGGGGTTTCACTATGTTGGCCGGGATGCTCTCCTGACCTTGTGATCTGCCCGCCTTGGCCTCCCCAAAGTGCTGGAATTATAGGCGTGAGCCACCGCTCCTGGCCTTTGTTTAATCTTTATGAGCTTTAGTTTTCTTACCTGGAAAATAAATATAAAGCTGCCCCTATCTTATAGAATGGTTATAAGGATCCAATGAGATAGTTCAAGTAACTTGCTAGCACACTCTAAGTTCTCAATACATATAGCTATTAATATGTTACTGATTATCTACTGTTTGCCAGACCCTGGGATGGAGAGAGAAATAACACTAAGTATTTGTCCTTCAGGAGTTCCCCACACTCTGGTGAAGGAGAAAGACATCCAAACAGCTTACTGTAGTAACATCTAGTACATAGGATATTAGAGGGATGCTTTAAGAAAGCTGCAAATCAACAGGAAGTTGGGCAACACCCAAAGAAGACCAAAAAAAAAAAAAGCAGGAGGGGCACTTGGCCCTGTCTGGGAGGCTTCTTTGGAGAGAGAGTTTGTGCTGAATCTTAACACATGAGCAGGCGGCCAGGAATTAGCCTTGGTGAGGGTTGGTGTGAGGTGGACCAGGGAAATATTCCAGACAAACGGAATAGCATGAGGAAACACAGGCATGCTGACATGCTAAGCTACAGCTGTGGCCTGGGCCTTTGGAAGTAGTTGTAAGCATAGGGAAATCTTGAGGTTTGAGGTTCAGAATAGAAGGTATGGTCACAGGGCAGAACTCTCCCAACCAGGGAGAGTTCCCAACAATCTGTTCTCCCTAGATTGTCTACAACCTGTTGTCTCTGCGCTTCAACTCACGGATCCGTGTGAAGACCTACACAGATGAGCTGACACCCATTGAGTCCATTACCTCTGTGTTCAAGGCAGCCAACTGGTATGAAAGGGAGGTGAGTTACTGCACATGGTGGACCTGCCTCTGGGCCAGAGTTGCAGAACTGGTTGACACTGGAATGCAGTGTAGCCCCCTTACCCTGTTGTTAGTCTTGATGGATTGGCTGCCTGAGGGCCTCTCTTTCCTAGGTCTGGGACATGTTTGGAGTCTTCTTTGTTAATCACCCTGATCTAAGAAGGATCCTGACAGATTATGGCTTCGAGGGACATCCTTTCCGGAAAGACTTCCCTCTATCTGGCTATGTCGAGGTAGGAGCCTTGGAACTGAGATGGACAGCAGCCTCAGGGAGGGACTTGCAGGGAACCCAAGGGATCCCTGGGGATGGCAGGAAATACGGTCTGTGGGTTGTGGTGGTTTAAGAGCATGGGCCCTGGATTCAGATCCTAGATTCATTTTTGTAACCTGGGGCAAATTACTTGGTGGTTTGACTGTGACTCAGCTTTCTCTTTTTTTTTTTTTTTTTAAGACAGAGTCTTACTCTGTCGCCTGGACTGTGGACTGGAGTGCAGTGGTGCAATCTCGGCTCACTGCAACCTCCGCCTCCTGGGTTCAAGTGATCCTCCTACCTCAGCCTCCTGAGTAAGTGGGACTACAGGCGCCCACCACCATGCCCAGCTAATTTTTGTATTTTTAGTAGAGACCGGGTTTCACCATATTGGCCAGGCTGGTCTCAAACTCTTGACCTTGTGATCCACCTGCCTCAGTCTCCCAGTGTGCTGAGATTACAAGAGTGAGCCACTGCATCTGGCCAGCTTTCTCATCTTGAAATGGCAATAATAATAGCACTTAAACTAATGTATTTGTGGCAAACATTAAATAACGTATATAGGCTCATTCCTGTAATCCCAGCACTTTGGGAGGCCAAGACAGGAGGAGTGCTTAAGCCCAGGAGTTTGAGAACAGCCTGGACAACATGGCGAAACCTCATCTCTGCAAAAAAAAAAAAAAATACAAAAACTAGCAGGTCATGGTGCTGCATACCTGTGGTCCCAACTGCTTAAGAGGCTGAGGCGGGAGGATCACTTGAGCCCAGGAGGTGGAGGTTGCAGTGAGCTGAGATCACGCCACTGCTCTCCAGACTGGGCAACAGAGTGAGACCCTGTCTCTGAATAAATAAATGATGTATGTATGAAGGCTGGTGTATTGTAAAGGCTCAATTGATGCTGTGTGTGTGTGTGTGTCAGGGTCTTACTCTGTCATCCAAGCTGGAGAGCAGTGGTATGATCACAGCTCACTGCAGTCTACCTCCCAGGCTCAAGTGATCCTCCCACCTCTCAGCCCTCTGAGTGTCTTGGACTACAGGCATGCACCATCATGCCCGGCAAATTTTTGTATTTTTTGTAGAGTTGGGGTTTCTCCATGTTGCCCAGACTGGTCTCGAATTCCTGAGCTCAAGCCATCTGCCCTCCTTGGGCAGATTAGTTACTAAAGGCGTTAGTTACTGCACCTGGCCAATGTTATCCATTATGGTAATAATCATTTTAATGATCAAGGTAACCTTGAGGACACAGTCTGTCCCTAAAACATAAAGTAGAGGATTATTTTACCCTGCCTTGAGTCTCTGGGAAAGTAGTGACAGGGAAGACGCCAAATGTTTAGCCCTCAAAAATTGTCTCTGAAGTGGGACCAGTAACATGTGAATAAAGAATTTCAGTGGTGCTGCAGATTGTTTATTTGCAGGAAGATAATGTGTTATATTATCACTCGTGAATTTTATAGCAAAGTAACTGTTTAGAAATGCTGAGGCATTAGACTTGGATTTTTGGGTACAAAAAAAAGGAAAAGAAAAGAAATGCCAGCCGGGCGCGGTGGCTCAAGCCTGTAATCCCAGCACTTTGGGAGGCCGAGGTGGGTGGATCACGAGGTCAAGAGATCGAGACCATCCTGGTCAACATGGTGAAACCCCGTCTCTAC